ACTGTTTTCTTCTATCCAATTCTGCTCCTTCCCCCTTTTCCCTAGGTTTTGATCCTTAATGTATGTCTTAGACTCCAAAATCATCTTGGAATTTGCCTCCTGTTTTTTTAAATTGTGATAAAAAGCACATGCCATCAATTTTACTCCCTCAGCCATGCTTAAACGTATAGTGCAGTAATGTTAACTACATGCACTCTGTTGTTCAATAGATATAGAGAACTTTTTCATAAATACCTGCTTCCTGAAAAGTCAATCTGTGACCACACTTTCTCTAATGATCTAAATCTTTTCAGGATGTTTTGAAGTGCAGTTCTTCTTTCTTGGTAATATCCTAAACAGGTTTGCAATATGAAATTGTGAGACTGAAGGATGGCAGAAACCACATAATGCAGAGTATCTGCAATGATCACATCCTTTTTTTAAAATGGGGTCTGTGAATGTTTCCCATGTACCTTGAAGATTATGTTTTTCCTCTTTCTAGCCTGCATAAGAAGTGGATAAAAATTGGAATACTTTCTCCTTGGAAGTTTCAAGAAGACAGCAAATGGTAATTTTTTTTTTATTGAGAGGCCAAAACAATGTGGCAGGTATCCAACAAAGTTTTTGACTCAAAGTTTTCAGTCCTGAGCATCCTATTTGGGATTTTAGAGTTAATTGTGTTTACTCAAAGTTGTTGTCACATCAAAACTTTGTGCTTCAGTAACTCTACCTACAAAATTGGGAGGTTAGCCTATTGTAGTAGTTTTCAGTCCTGTTGCAGAAATTTGAAGATGGCTAAGAATTTTTTTGCTACTCCTTCCATTGAGAGGCAGAATCTAATTACCCTCCTCTGAATCTGAGTTGACATCAGTGACTTCCTTGACAAATAGGATATGACACAAGTGATATGGCATAACTTTTGAGCTAGCTCTTGCGGCTTCACCTTAATCCGTAGAACCACTCTTCTTGGGAGTCTCTGAGCAGACTAGTGTTCTGAGAGGTAGGGTTAGAGGGACAGATGACAAAGGGGAATGAGGAAACTTTTGAGGGTGATGGATATTTTAATTACCAAGATGAATGTTTTTGATGATGGAACAATCTGGTGATGATTTCATAAACATATAAGTATACCAAAGACCATAAAATTGTTCATTTTAAATGCATACAGTTTTTGTAGGAAAAGTATGCTTCATTAAAGTTGCAGAGAGAGATGGAAATTGGTTATCTCAAAGAATTTCCTCAGGTGCCAGAAAGTCTGGTCCAGAGGACTCATAGCTGGGAAAAAAAGTCAACTGAATTTCACAATAGAATGAAGCTGGCAAAGGCAACATAGCTATTCCTCACTGGATAGGAACACCACAGATTGCATCATCGATCCCATGAACTCCTAAAAAACTGATTGCTCTAATGAAAGTGTTTGTTTCTGGTGCTGCATCTGAAGAGAGAGGCATCCACTTCATCTGCTACCACCCATTGCCAGAGTTACACTAGCTCTTCCAGGTGAATTTCAACACAGATCATCTTCTTAGGTACTAAATCCTATTGGGAGTACTCAGATCAGCCCAGAAGCATCCATTAAAGTTCATTAAAAATCTTTTTGAGGAGGAAAATGTGGTTTTCTTCTTCCTTTCAACTGGTTTTGGTACCTAGCATTACCATCTCATAATCTCACTATGAAACCAGGGCTTCACAACAAGCTAAACAGTTCATATCAGGGTTTGGCAAATAAATACTTAACAGCCAAGCTTTGCTGACCAATAAAAGTACAGAAACCCACTGTCAGTCAAGTTTTTCCTGGGACTCTTTTTCACTATGACAACTCAAAATTTATATATGATGAGATTTCAAAGTAATTGTGTTGGTCAACTTTTCTTTAATAGAGGTTCTTATACCCTTGGTCTCTACCAAAAATAATTATCCAAAATTGTTTAATAGACTTCAGTTACATGCTACTCTGGTGAGTCATTAAAGGCTGCTTCCAGAGCCATTAATTTCCCAGTATTTCCAGTCTTCAGTTCTGCTGGTGCAGTGGATTGGTGGCCAGAGAGCCCTGAAAGACTAAATACAGTAAGGACAGGGTTGTATGGGTGCCAATCCAACAGAATTGACTAGAACTGTGATTTTATTTAGTTGAAGTTAGCACATCTACTGAGAAGTTGTTGGAAATAATGGAAAACTTATCCTTTTTTATATTTATTTTTCTCATCCTTCAAAGCTGTTGATAACATTGAATTAGGTAAAAGCAAAGGAAATTTTTCGTTGTCCTTTTTTTTTTTTTTTGAGAAATTAATAGTATTAAGTTTACCGTTTTACTCTACATTTTCAGTAATTAAAAAAGCAGAATTGCTTTTGCTGTTTTTCCCTTTCACTGAAGAGGCAAATAAATGAAAGTACCCATTTAAGCAGTAGCAACAGAAAAGGTGGCGGGTTGGAGTTAGTAAGAGTCCATCAGGTAATTGAGGAGCTGAGTTTTCTGAGTTTTCCTTAGCAGTTCCATGATAAATGAAAAATTTCAATTGTGAAAAATCAAACCAACTCTTCTCAAAACGATCTGTACAACTACTGTCTGCACCCACTTTTTCTAAAGTCTCAGCAGAGGTCTCTTTGTGAATAAGCTAAAAAAAAAACAAAGATTGAGGGAAGCTTTATTCACCTGTTTTTAGGTAATCTTTTGCCATTGAAATCACGGTCCTCTGAGTTCAGTGGTTAACTGAAATGGTGCCAACAGGATTTCTTCACAATTTTCCAGTAGCCACGGCAGCGCTTCACTTACGTTGCCAAAGGCCATTGGACCCAGCAGTCACAGTCAAGGGATTTCCCCGGTAATTTGGAGGCAGATTGCTAAAGTTAACCAGGACAAACCTAGAGTTGCTTCAATCACTGTTGATCAGTCATTCACATTCCACTCTTTGTGCCCATGGACTGTAGCCTGCCAGGCTCCTCTGTCCATGGGGACTTCCAGGCAAGAATACTGAAGTGAATTGCCATTTGCTTCTCCAGAGGATCTTCCCAAATCAGGGACTGAACCTGTGTCTTCAGCAAGTCTCCTGCATTGCAGGTGGATTCTTTACCGCTGAGTAACCAGGGAAGCCATAATCATTCCCAATTCAAACTTATTATTTCAGAAACTCTGTCCTGCTTCTCCAGTTACTTTAACTCTAAAGGGTGGAGGTTAACCAGATCCCCAGTGATTTAGAATCTGTTTATATCAAGTAAGTGAAACTACTGCTCTAGGATTCAGAAGCTAGGGAACACGAGCCAAAACTAGACAGACATCTGCACCACATTAAGTTTCATAAAGACAGAGATATTTCTTATTTTTGTTTACCACTGAACACCCAGGACCTTGTTATTCTTCATTGGCAGATGCAAAATAACTCAGCACTTTTAAAAGCAATTACATGATTTCTAAACTTTTACAGTGTGATCTATTCTGAACCATTCTTCATTATTTGACACATTTTGAATGGAAAGGAATGGAACATGTTATCATCCATTGGCACTGAAGCAGTGCACTCAGACTTGACACAGTGAAAGCAGTGAAAACAATACAAGAATAGGCACTGGTTTCATTAAAAGGCACAACTCTGCTGCATACTCTTTAAACTCTAAGTGATGAGTTAAGGATCACACACACACTCAAAAATCTTAATTTTAAGAAGATTACTGCAAACAAGACTACTTTTTGGCCAGGTTTTGACTTCCATTTGCTTTCTTTCCGGGAGGTCTGGCGTGCTGCAGTTCATGGGGTTGCAAAGAGCAGGACACAACTGAGCAACTGAACTGAACTGAACTGAAAATGTTTTTGCTGATTACTTTGAGTAACTTTCTATGTGAAGACTAATATTTATAGTTTTTAAAATTAATGTTGAACCTCCCTATGACACTTTTTCTTCCACTTGATTTTGCAGAATCCTCTGTGAAACCATAATGGTATTTGCAAGAGGTCAGCTATAACAGCACCAACAAAGAAACCCTCTTTAGAAAGAATTAATAGAAACTTATGTCTATTTCACAGAGATGTGTTTTAAAAACAATTCTCTAATGCTAGTGAAAGATGAAAGAAAAAATTCAAGTGCAGAAACCACATGTTTAAAATAAGATGTTACTTGTTGTAGAACAGATTCTCAGGACTAGGATCCCTCATGGGGTCTTCAAAACAGATAAGAAATGATTATTGTCTGAATCTTCATCAACAGAATGATAATTAAAACATATGGGTTACCTAGTTCAATGCTAATGAACAATATTTATCACCTGTGGATCCCAAGGAATATAATATAAATTGTAACTGGGTTTGGGTATATGTGTATTTATATATAGTAACAGTAGTAGCAGTGTTAGTCGCTCAGTTGTGTCCAACTCTTTGTGATGCTATGTACTGTAGCCCACCAGGCTCCTCTGTCCACGGGCTTCTCCAGGCAAGAATACTGGAGTGGGTTGCCATTCCTTTCTCCAGAGGATCTTGCTGACCCAGGGATTGAACCCAGGTACTCTGCATTGCAGGCAGATTCTTTACCATCTGAGCTATAGGAAAGTTCCATACATTGGTCTATAAAATTCAACTCATATTCAGATATGTAAATAAATGTGTTATAAAACAAGATCTGATTTTTAGAAACCAAATGTTTATACCAATACAAATATCACAACTTCCTTAGAGGAGTAGAGATAGAGCCTAAATATTTCAAACTCTGATTCAGTCAAAGCTGACATATGCATGAGGCATAGCAGGTGCAGTGCCTAGGGACCACAATAATTTTAGGGGCCTGTGAAAATATTTCAGTTTCTTTTAAAATCAAAAGAAAAAATAAATCTTTAGAGCCAAAGAAACTGGCAGTAAAGGTAAAGTTATCCAAGAACTATGGAAGTCATTTTTGCATCCCTGTTCACATTAAATGAAATTTTTTTTGCTTTGAAAATAAATGTTTGTTCTTAAAGCATTTTGTTCTTAAAGCCTTACTTCCTGAGGATCATAATTAGATAAAAGAAAACTCTAGTAATCAGAAGTATGTACCTACCTTTGCACGATGCTACAGGGAGCATGAAACTGCCAAGAAAGCAAAAGAGCAATGGTCAGCGTGGAAGTCATGTTTACCCTGGATTCTCTGCTCCCTGGTTTCTGCAGCCCCAGACACTGTTTGCTTGACTGTCTCTGAGGACTTGTGTTGGCTGGGGTGTTCCTGAGGCTTTTTATATTATTGCAACACTAAAGGTACGTGGGTTCTCCTCCTGTACTACATTACTGGAAATTACACAAAATCCAGTCTGTCCCCCTGTACTTTGAAACTAAATCTGAGAGAGGCAAACACTGGTAGGCCTCCACAAATTTTCAACATGCTTAAAGTTTAACTGATTTGGTATAAGAACTGTTTTGTTTAATGTCCAGGTCTTCCTCTGTTAGGGCTGCTGTAGCAAAAGTACCATATAAGCTTGTGGCTTAAACAAGAATCACTTACTTCTCAGAGTTGTGGAGACAAAGAATTCCAAGAGCAAGGAGCCAGCAGATTAGGTGTCTGGTGAGAACACATTTCCTGGTTATAAGCAGCCTTCTTCTCACTGTGTCTTCCTAAGGCAGGAGGGGTGATGGAGGTATCTAGGATCTCTTTCATAAGAATTCTACAGGCATACTTCATTTTATTGTGCTTTGCTTATTTGCAAACCTTGCATTTTTTTTTTATAAATTGAAATCTTGTGGCAACCCTACATCAAGCAATTCTATTGGTGTCATTTTTCCAATAGCATTTGCTTGATTTGCATCTCTGTATCATATTTTGGTAATATTTCCAACTTTTTCATTATTATTCAATTGCTTTAAAAATTTTATTTTGTACTGGGGTATAGCCAGTTAACAATATTGTGATCATTTTAGGTGAACAGCAGAAGGGACTCAGTCATACATATACATCTGTCCATCCTCCCGCTAGCTCCTTTCCCATCCAGGCTGCCACATAACATTGTTCCATGTGCTATACAGTAGGTCCTATTTTAAATATAGCAAAGTGTGCGTGTCGATTTGTTATGGTGATCTGTGGTCAGTGATCTTTGATGTAATTATTGTAATTTTTTGGGACATCATGGACTCTGTCCATATAAAATTGAGTTTAATCAATAAATATATGTGTTCTAATTGCTTCACCAAACACTATTCCCCCATCTCTCTCCCTCTCTTTGGGCCTCCCTATTCCCTGAGGCACAACAACATTGAAATTAGGTCAATTAATAACCTTACAATAACCCCAAGTGTTCATCTCTCACTTTAAATCATAAACCAGGAATGATTAAGTTTCAGTTCAAGGAAGTTCAGTTCAGGGAAGAAGGCATGTTGAAAGCTAAGGTAGGTTGAAAGCTGAGCTTCTTGTGCCAAACACTTGGCCAAATTGTGAATGCAAAGAAAAAGAGAAGGAAATTAAAAGTGCTACTCCAGTGAACACACAAATGATAAGAAAGTGAAACAGTCTTATTACTGATATGGAGAAAGTTATAGAGTCTAGATAGGTGATTAAACCAGCCACAATATTCCCTTAAGCTGAAGCCTATCCAGAGCAAAGCCCCAACTCTCCTCATCCTCTAAAGGCTAAGAGAGGTGAAGAAGTTACCGAGGAAAGGTGAAGCTAGCGGAGGTTGTTTCATGAGGTTTAATGAAAGCAGCTGTCTCCATAACAGAAAAGTGCAAAGTAAAGCAGCAGGTGCTGATGTAGAAGCTGCAGAAACTTATCGAGAAGGTCTAGCTAAGATAACTAATGGCAGTTACACTAACACCAGACTTCCCTGATGGCTTAGTGGTTAAGAATCTGCCTGCAGTGCAGGAGACCCGGGTTTGATCCCTGGGTCAGGAAGATCCCCTGGAGAAGGGTATGGCAACCCGCTCCAGTATTCTTGCCTGGAGATTTCCATGGACAGAGGAGTCTTGTGGGCTACACCCCATAGGGTCAAAAAGAATCGGACACGACTGAATCGTCTGAGCATGCAGGCATGCACACTAACACCATCTTCACAGATTTTCAGTGTAGATGAGACAGGCTTCTATTGGAAGAAGATGCCATCTAAGGCCATCACTGCTAGAAAGAAGTCAATGCCTGGCTTCAAAGTTTCAAAGGACAGACTGACTCTTGAGTCTAATGGTTAATGCAGCTAATGACTCTAAGCTAATGCTCATTTACCATTCTGAAAATCCTAGGGCCCTTAAGAATTATGCTAAATCTACTCTGCCTGAGCTCTATAAATAAAATAAAGTATGGATGACAGCATATTTGTTTACAACATGGTTTACTGAATATGTTAAAAACTACCTTGAGATCCACTGCTCAGGAAAAAAGAATGCTTTCAAAGGTTAATGCTCATCAACAATGCACTAGAACATCTGATGACATGTATGATGGAATTAATGTTGTTTTTTTGTGCCTGCTAACAGAACATCCATTCTGCGGCCCATAGATCAAGGAGTAATTTCAACTTTCAAGTCTTATTCTATAAGAAATATATTTCATAAGGCTTTATCTTTATTCGTAGATAGTGATTCTTCTGGTAGATTTGGGCAAAGCCAATTGAAAAGCTTCTGGAAAAAATTCACCATTCTAGATACCATTAAGAACTTCTATGACTCAGGGGACGAGATCAAACTATCAGCATTAACAGGAGTTTGAAAGAAGTTGATTCCAACCTTCATGGGTGACTTTAAAGGCTCAAAACTTCAGCGGAGGAAGTAACTGCAGATGTGTTAGAAATAGAAAGAGAATTGGAATTACAAGTGAAGCCAGGAGTTGTGACTAAATTTCAACTATCTCATGATAAAACTTTAATGGATGAAGACTTGCCTCTTATGGTGAACAAAGAAAGTGGCTTCTTGAGAAGGAATCTACTCCTGGTGAAGATGCTTTGAGGAGTGTTGAAATGACAACTAAGGATTTAGAATATATGTAAACTCAGTTAATAAAGAAGTGGCAGGACTTGAAAAGATTGACTTCAGTTTTGAAGAGAAGTTCTACTGTGAGTAAAATGTCAAACAGCATTGTATGCTGCAGAGAAATTGTTTGTGAAAGGAAGAGTCAAATGATGATGCAAACTTCATAGTTATTTTATGAAATTGCTAGAGCCAAACCTTCAGCAACCTCAACACTATTCAGTCAGCAGCCATCAACATTGAGGCAAGACCTTCTACCAGCCAAAAGTTTAGGATTTGCAAAGGTTCAGATGTCAGTTAGCATTTTTTAGCAATAAAGTGTTTTTTAATATGTTATGTACATTTTTTAAGACATAATGCTGGGGCACACTTAGCATACTGTAGCAAATTGGGAACATAATTTTTATATGCACTAGGAAACCAAAAAATAGTGTGACTTATTTTATTGAAATAGTCACTTTATTGGGATTTTCTAGAACAGAATCCACATATCTCCGAGGTATACTTATAATTCCATTTGTGAAGGCTCCACCTTCATGACATAATCACCTCTCAAAGAGACTATAGTCCTTTAGCCTATAATGCTTGCTTTGTAGAAACTTCTAGATAGTTTACATTAAAGATGCCCAGGTAGAAATCATAACTATATCTCTATTGAGCCATTTTTACTTCCCATACACCACTGGGTATATCTATTTAACAAAAAATCTTTCTCCTTTCATCCTTTTCCCTTTTTCACTTACTTCCTTTCATCCTTATTTTCTCCTTAACTTTTGTCATAGTTCTACATTACAAATATGATTCACTTTGAGTATATGAAAATATAAAACAGAAGAGAAGAATTATCTATCATCTCACTATCCAGAGACTATGGCTTTTATGGTTTTGATATTTTTCATTTTAATCTTGTGTGTTGTGTATGCCATGACTTTGTCTTTGTTATTTCACCTTCTCTTGTGTTGTCGGCATTTCTTTATATTAATCAGTACTTCTATTTCACAGTTGTCTGGCCATTAGTTCTACTTGCATCTCTGAAGTATTCCAACATGTAATGGTACCTAGTCTTTTAAAATTTTCAAATAATTTCTTTGTAAATTTCTTCTCTCTTCCTATCTCCACTACAATAAACTGGTCCTCCTTTCTCTTCCCCAGATTCCATAGAAATCTCCTATATGGTCTAACCCAAGCCTTCTCCCTCACCATTCACTTGCTTCTACCAAGAGAACGTTCAAGAACATGAATCTGGCCATATCTTTTCTCAGGCTTAATCATCAGAGTCTACCACTTGCCATGGTCTTCAGGATAGTTCACATTCTTGACCTGATAGAAGTTTTTCTCTGCTTGACTCTGTCAGACCTCCCCAAGTCTCCTCTCTAGATTTCTCTCTCCTCCCATCTTTAGCTTCAATCTTTTAAATTCTTGTACCTTGTACCTTTCGCCCATACTATTTTCTCTGTCTGGAGTGTCTTTCCCCTTTTACGTGACAAAATCAACGCAACCTTTGAAATTCAAGCCAGGTCACACCACTGTTTGTGCACTTCCTAAGAGCTCATTCTTTCAATCTCCACCTCACCATATGAGTTAAGATCTCAAGGTTTATCCTCTCCTATCTCTGAGCCTTCTCCTATAGTCCAAATTGTACCTCTTCCTAAGTGACTTTCTGGTTTCTTTCCTCTTAACCATGGGAGCTGAATTTGAATCCCAACCACCTCACACAGAGTGAAGGTTCAAGAAAAGTCTGATGAAAATAGAAATCTTTCATAGCCATTCTAGCTCAGCAGCTGAGAATCTCTGTGTCTGAGGCCAACTTCCTTCTGTTGACTCCATTCCAACATCAGCATGCCTGACACATGAATCATAGATCCTGGACAATATTATTTGTTGACATGGCTACAAAGAACAGTTGTGGAATTTCCCAACAATTTCAGAATCTCCCTTTAAAATCCCTTTCCCCCCACATTTCTACCATAAGCACCTCCAGAAAAAGAGTAATAGGGCATTGTTATCCTGAGGGTGAATCAGCCACTGAAAAAATCTCTTACATTAACTTTGCTATTAGGAATTACAAAAGAGGAAACCAAGTGAGAGTTAGTTTGTGAATCTGATAAGTTAAAATTTAATATGTAAATTTTAATATAATGGATGTGAGTGGTTTGGGTGGACACTCAGAGAGATAGAAATCTTTGTGACTAATTCAAAATCCTAACCATGAAAAAAAGATCTCTTTAATCCTACTCTTATATAAGTTT